AAAGTGATCAGGTTTCATCAGGCAAGACCTCCTGAGACTTGACAGGTGATACCTATCAGCAAAGGTTAAAGCTGGTTTTCCCAGGACTCAGTCATTATCTCAAAATTTTCTCTCTGGGACCCTAAAGATACTTCCTCCACAGACAGCAGGAAGAAGTATGGAGAAAACTACATCAACATTCCCATGAATTGGGGGGTGTGGTTGGCTGTTGGTTATTTGGTGGGTTTTGGATGTTTGTTCTAGTTTATGGGAACATAGAATCTTGATACAAATTTAAAGTTACATCATATATATGTTTCTACCATTGTCCAAACTGTTTTGTATAGTGATGCAAAGTTAAGGTTGTTTTTTTTACTATATGTTATATATGTGTTTCTGCTTGTGTTTAAGGTATTTTGTCTATGCAGTTTATTTTAAAATGTAAGGTAAAATTCTAGCTTTTGAAATCTGTTTTTATAAATTATATAAGATAACCAGGAACATAGATTAGTGGTTAGTCATTCATAACCATCAAAACTGTAGCTAGGTTATGTATGCTTTTCAGGTCATATAGAGATATATTTTAGATAGATAGATGGTCTTCAAACTTTTAAAGGCCCACAGAGTATGGCATTTTCAATGTTTCGTTAACTTAAAAGTTTTTCATGATGATGTAACGCACTTGCACCAGGCAGCCCCAATTTACTTCAGAGATGATGGGCACTGAAGAAACTCCTTATGGAGTTTGCTTTTGTCGTGGCTAGGGTAGCCACTGGGCAGAGAAACTGTTCTTGCCTCTGACTACTGACAATATGCCGTGCAGACTGGACATGCAGGACACAGAGGAAACAGAACTGTTGAACTTTGCCAAAAGAAGGCAGGACAGTCCAAAATTCCTGCTTCATAGAAAAGTCTGCCAGATACTCTAGGCTTGTATGCTGAAGGTGACTGCCCCAACATTGCAGAGGAACTTTGGGTGACTGTCCAGCAGCCAAACGTCTCTGTTGTTAGGTAATATTACATCCTTCTGGGTCTTTAATGAAGTTGAAGACTAAAAAGTTATAGTTGCAGTTTTCCTTAGTTATGATAGAAAGTAAGTTAGGTGTAAAACATTGGATTCACTAAGACAGAATAGATAATGCATCATTTTCCTTGAATATGCTAACTACAAATGGACAGAATATTGTAAATTAATTCTTACTTGATAACTGTTTTTGTTGTATGTAGTTATACTATGTGAAAGTTAAGCCTTTAATTTAATTAGACAAAAAGGGAAGAATGTGGTTGATATTTTAAGGTGTGTTACTTTTGTTCATGTTGCATTTGTTTAACTCTGTGAAGCTGTGTTACTGTGCCTGTCTGAAACACCTGATGGTCTAATAAAGAACTGACCAGCCAATAGCGAGGCAGGAGAAAGGAGAGGCGGGGCTGGCAGGCAGAGAGAATAAATAGAAGGAGAAAACTGTGAGGAGAGTTCTAAGATCCAGCAGCCGGAGGAGGAGGAGGAGGACTCCAGGGTCCAGCCTCCCAGCTACACAGCCAGCCAGGGAGTAAGAGTAAGATTTACAGACGTTAGAGAAAAGGAAAAGCCCAGAGGCAAAAGGTAGAGGGGATAAAGTAAGATCAGGAAAGCTGGCAAGAGATTGAGCAGAGCTAAGGACGGGCATTCATAATTGAGATAAGCATCCATGTGTAATTTATTTGGGAGCTGGATGTCCCCCCAAAAAAGAGTGAAATAACCAACAACACTGGCCTCCCTCAGTGGACTGTGACCAGGGACTCATGAGCCTGACAAACCCTTTCCCCCCAGGCTGCTCTTGGTCATGGTATTTATCACAGCAGTAGAAACTCTAAGACACTGTCTTCGTCTGTCTCTGGGTGTCCCACCTTACCTCAGTGTTGCCTGACACTGTACACTACTGTGCCCAGGTCATATTTGGTGTGGGAAGTGTGCAGCAGGCTGTCAGGAAACCCTGATTTTTGAGGGGAGCATCCACACTCCACTCTGGAATCTGTCCTAGATAATGGGTGTGAGGAGAGTGTGTGGGGACACCATCAGCTCCCACTGCACATGAATGAATGTTGCATGGCAGGTCCCTCAGGAGAAGACATGCTCAGGTCCAATGTAGAAAACACAGTGGTCAATGTGGTCTGGGGCTCAGTGATGCCATCAGGGACCCAGCCATGTCACTGTTCTTCTCTGTCACCTCTGCTCCCAAGCATTGGTGCCAAGGCTATCAGCTCATCATGCTGGACACTTCTCTAGAGGACAAAGGGAACAATCCAGGGCCTTGGTGTAGTACACCAGAGCATCATCATTGTGGAGGTCACGGAGAAAAGAAAATAAGGTAAACACTGACCTGTGTTACGTCACTGGAGTGTGCCATTGAAAATGTAATGAGGGAGTAGGGAGGACAGAGACCTTGACAATGTGAATCTCGTCCTACCTGTCAATCATCATGCAGAGTCTTCTACTGCAACACATTGGCCAGGGAATGGTCACTGGTCCAGCGTGGGCATGAGCTGGCCGTGAACAGAGCAGGGAAGCTGGGGACAGAGCAGTCTGTTTTTCCAAACTTGTCTCTGCTTAGGCCAAAAAATAATGAGTAGGGACGATCTATTTCACTCAAATATTGTTTTATACTATAAATAGTTATAAAACTGTGTTGTCCTAATGTGTGTATGTGAGTACCCATATAAAGGGAAGAAAGGAGTTTCTTTTAATGATATGGACATTTTTGCTCCAAATTCCAGCCTTCAGGGGACTCTTCTGGACTCAGAATACACAAACTGGGGTCTGGGGCCTGAGATTGGAGAACCTGAGGTCCATCTGAGAACCCTGGTAAACATGCAGCACATTCAAGCATGTGGTGGTAAATCTAGTGCCAAAGAGGAAAAAGCAGGTGGAGCCACAGCGCTTCCTGGCCAGGAGGTCTTGCACAGTTGATAAGTCCTTGTCCAATGAGAAACTTGTCCTAAAGGATGTAGATGGCATCCTGAGGATGATGCCAGAGGGAGTCCTAGGGTTTCCACATACAAATTCTAAGCATGTGCATAGAGAGAGAGAGAGAGAGAGAGAGAGAGAGAGAGAGAGAGAGAGAGAAACAGGCACATACAATTGTTACATAAAGCAGTACAGGCTGCATCTGAGGCCAATGATCTGAAGCTCCACCCTGTGCCCCACCCCCTGTCATAGCCTCAGACACCCCCAATCTCTATCACCAGATGCCTCTGTCAACTGCTGTCCTCACACTGCTGCCGCGGACATCTGCTTCTACAGAGGTAATTTTTGTTGGTGTGGAGTGAGTCTTTCTCTGA